TGAATGCGCACTTTCATCTGGTTTGACACGTTTTTGTGGACTTTTATGGACCTTTCTGTCTCGGGCGCCATAGACCTCCATTATTTGAATGTCAGCAGACAGCAAGAAGCCTCCCAGATCTCCAGATGCATTTGAGATATCAAAAAATGACTCCAGAGTGTTGTTCAGCATGGGGGTGAGTAGAAAATGAAGGCTAATCATGTTTTGGGTGTACTATTCCTTTAAGGACTCCACATTAGCAATGTTGCTCAATCTTTGTGCTTGACATTATAAATGCAGAGTGGGCAGCTGTGGAACCAGTCTCCCGTTTGCGGCTCGTCCCCAAGCCTGAACAGGTAGATTTCTATTTGTCTTCTGTAAATTTAATACGTTTGATTCAGGAGGGTGCAGTCATCGGCGTAGAGGGAGAAAATTAGAGGGGAGGATACACATCCCCGAGGAGCACCTGTGCACATTGTCCTGGATCTGAATGCAGATTCCCACAGTCTCTAGCTGATGTCTGTCATTCAGAAGGTTTTCAATCCAGTGGCAGGTAGAGAGAGGAACAGCAAGCTTGGAGGGTTTGCTGTTGAGGAGATCAGGGAGGACAGTGGTTAAAGCACAGTTGTAGTGCAAAGGAGATCTGTTCGTGTCTACCCCACAGCTCAAGATGCCGCAAGACGGAGATTCCTTGGCAGGAGAGCTGGATACGGCCCAGCAATGCCTTTTTAAGAATGCCAACACAGGCAGGGATTTCATCATTACAGGTATTGTGAAAACAGGTTTGAGGTTATTTAGTTAGTGAGCATGGCTCCAGTATAGGGATAAGGATGAGCTACAGTGATATTTTGAAGATGCTGGTTTAGATAGCTGGTTAAGGAAAGTGAGATTTTGGGTCTGGTGCTTTTCTGGATTCCTCTCGCTAGGAATGACCAATATAATTAGAATTGATCCTCAATGCCCAAAACGGAGGTTTGGAAAGTTAGAGATGCAGGGCACAAGAGCAGATTCATCAAAGCAGTCTTCTAAGTCCTCAGCCAACCTTTGGCCATCAGCAAAAGTAGAGGATGGAGGGTTGTGAGGATTTTCAGACCAAATCCACTCTGGATGAAGAGTTGTTGGCGGAGAACAGAGAACTTCAGCTTCTTAAAGAATAGAAGCTACTTGGAGCTCTAATCTCCTTTAATTAAGCTCTTAGCCTGATTTAAAGCTGTTTCTGTTTTGTGTTGTCATTGTTATATGTTAGGTATGACCTGCTTATAGATCTGGGCAATATTTTGGTTGATTTTGATTTTTTTTTTTAAATATACTTCTTCTGTATCAAACTGCTTCAATAATTATCATGATATAAATTCAGAGGGTATCTGTTTAAACACAAATAAAAAAAAATTGATGAAAATCACAAATAAAATAGAAATGTTAATATTGACAATCTCTGTTTCTCCACAATTTTTTAATCATTTCTTTAACTGGTAAGAACACAAATGTTGACGAAACTATAAAAGTTTCAGTTTTAGCAAAATCAACAATTTCCTTCATCAAAGGTTGTGACTTGGTCTTTTCTATCTCAGAGTACGGTGTCCCAGAGGTGTCAACACTAATACAAAAGCCTTTTGTAATTATGTTGCGGCTTTTGCGTTTATGTTGCAGTTTTTGTTTGCATTGCAGCTTTTGTATTAGTTTTGACCCATCTGGGCCACCGTAATTAGGCTTAATCAGTCAAACATGTTTAAGTTTTAATAGCCCTTAAGTCAGATAGTGTGATTATTAGTCACCTACCAGTAAATTGTTGCTATTAGCAATGAAATCCTAACCACCCATATTATTTTTCAATTTATTGTTATGAATCATTTCCAAATTTTTTTCTTTTTTAATGAAGGGTTTTAATCAAGGTTTGCCCATCTCCCACGCATATGATTGTTGTAAACGTATCTCCAATCAATTAATTACCTGATAAGAAAATATAACCTGAAAGCCTGATTAATGAATCAAAGTCCAGTTTAAATGACCTCTGTAGGTCAGGCTGTTATTACACAGTCCTTTAGGTCAATGGGGGTCAGAAGAGCAGCACGTCGTGTTCTGTAGGTCCGTTACAAATTGACAGCAAACGTATTTTAATGTTAGTCATTAACAGGACAGAATGTTTCCCGAGTGATGCGTTCACTGACCCGTGTAGAAGACGCTGGTGGCCAGGGGCGCCGCCGCGGTCTGGTCCAGGAACAGCTTCTTCATCACCATTCCGGCGGAATTCCCCGGAAACCTGCGCTCCAGAAGACGCATCCAGAAGAAATTGAAGTTACCGTGGAAACTGAACGCGACCACAGCGACGTTGCGCGTCTGTCTCCAGTCCATCTGCTCCCTGGAGGAGAACCACTGGTGGACCAGGTCCCCCCCGGCGAACAGGCAGCCGTACAGTGTAACATTGGTGACCCACGGAAAGCGTCGGACGTGCTTTAGAAACGCAAACGGCATAATTCACCCTGTGCAGCCCAATATGTAGAGAGGCTGAGAGGAAGCTAAATCATGACGTTAAACCATCGCTCTCTTTCTCTCTCTCTCTTCGCATCACTAAAAATATACACAACTGTATGCTTCCGGTTATTAGATTAAAAAAATACTGTAAATAGCCTATAAGTAAAGTTTATAAAACTATGTAAATCCAAATAGTGTAGCCTACTTTTCTGTCAAACTCCAAGCAATCAGAGCAGACTGTGATAGAGGCTGACTTCCACCGGCTCTGGTGGAATACTAGTACGTAATGGTTCTTACGCTAAAAATCTGACGTAAAAAGGGAATGACTTACGTAAAAAGGGAATGGGTGGAGTTGGTCTGAGGACACGTATCAGCATGGCGCGCACAAAAGGCAAAAAGTGCAGTAATCAAATAATATATTATTATATTTAATATTATGTTACTTAAATTACTTGTTTATTAGTAATTATTTATTAGTTATTACTTTTTTTATTAGTAATTATTACTTAATTACTTATATTGCTGTAGATCAGGGGTAACCAATTAAAAATCAGTGGGGTCCTAATAAAGAAAATCATCAACCAGTAAAGGTCCGGAGACATTTTTTAATATAATCTGTTACTTTAAACAGAATTTAACTCTGAAATATAATGTTTTTTTATGCATCCATTTTATAGAGTGATTTTTTTAATTAAAAAGATAAAAAAAATATATATAAAATTTTTCCATTTTAAAATCTAAAGTTTTTTGAAGTAGAGAACAACAGTCGTTCAGTTTGGTATATAGACAATTTCCTGATTGACATTTTATAAAACACCTGAACTGACCTTTATGGTTTAATGAGAGCAGTGGGCTTTACGCTGACCTGGCTTTAAAACTGGGTTTGAATGGCAACAAAGCCATTCTCAAGCACAGATCTAGGTTCTCATTTCGAGCCTGGATCGATATTTATTTTTGATATAATTTATAGATTTTTGATTTAATATATACATTTTTAAAATCAGGTTGGGTCCAGATTAGCCAGCAGGTTGGTCCGGATCCGGACTGGGGCCTGCTAATCCGTGACCTCTGCTGTAGATCATTTGTATATAGTTTATAATAGGTGTAGGTCAAAAAAGGTAACCATATTGTAAGTTAATGCATGTTCTATTGTTCACAAACATATACATAGTAATTATTTATTTGGAAAAATTCATGTCACATGGTTGATCAACTTAACTGTGATGGAAGACACAAATTTATGAATGGAAGAAAATGTGGTGCAACACAAGATTGAATAATTGAACAATATCTGATTCTAAAATGAAATCTATGGCATTATTTTTTAAATGGAGCCTAGGCGGAAGTTCAACTGGAGAAACTCATTGTCACCTACATCCACCTGTGACACAGCCAATCAGCCTTGACACACACCTCCACGAAAGCAAATCGGGATCCAAAGTTCATCTTAGCTCTGTGCGCAGGCGTTGGATGCGCTGTGTGACTTCATTCAGATGACACCGTTTCAACCCACCTCCAGCCCCTCCTCCACCATCGTAACTAAAGCTTCATCAGAGCGTAATTCCTCCCAGACCCTTACTGCGTTTCCTGTCTTATCTCAATTGGTCTGGCAGAAGACCGCCATGTTGAGCCTGGTTCTGCCAGAGGTTTCTTCCAAATGGGGAGTTTTTCCTCTCCACTGTCACTTCATACTTGCTCATCATGGACAGCTTCTCTCAACCTGTGTTATCCAACTGAACTTCCATCTTCCAGGTCCCTGAGTGAAGCTCTAGTATCAGCTCACACAATCCACTGGATCTCCCCATAATGCTCAGCATACCGTCTCGCTAACCAGCAGTCTACAGACTGACCAACTTCATCTATCTCCACTCCACCACCAGTTTCAGGCCTGGGGGGAAACAGCCCTATTCTTTACTCCTGTTCATGTATATCTATCAAATTAAGCACTATGTTCCCTGCCGAGGTCTGAGCGCCAAAGACAATGTAATTGTATCAATACATTTCTCCTAAATTTCTTTTCTCTTCATGTGAGTTTTTCCAATATATAAAATAAAAAAATATATAAATATATTTGCTTACAAATGGACACCATATTTATAAGAAAAACAGGACAGTTGATTGCAGATGCTAAATCTCACTTTGACTATATACATCATCATTTAATTTATCAAATTAAGTTTACAGAAATTCACAAGGAATCAATTTTATGTTTTTTTTTAACCCAAATAAGTCACCATTTTCCTTTTTGCGAAACTTGCTTTAGCCTGGAAAGTAACATTTCAAACTTCCTTGACACTCCTACATTAATCTGTATGATATAGATTTAATAACTCATTAATTATAGTTTATAACCACCACCAATACAACAGATAACACTTAGAGATGTAGCCATCAACTGGCTGGCGATAAGCTCAGATCTGTGAGCAGTAGTTTAAACACATTTCATCAGCCTTTCATCAGCTGCTCAACAAATGCATGAATTCTAAGAATATCAATTGCAGTGGCATACAATTGAAACCCTAATGTTGAACAACAAGTGTGTGAAGGTATGATACCATCTTAGGAAGAAATCCTAGCCATTGAAGGGTCACTTACATTTATTCTTAATCCACTTCTGCAATTGATGGCTGACACCAGCGAAACATGCACCGTTAAAAGGTTTCATCAGCATCACAACAATTGTGAAACTGACCAGCCATGAGGGACAGTTCAACCAAAAATAGAATCCATGCACTAATAAGTGGATTTTCTCATTTCCAAATCAGCTAGTGTGCATCTTGGAATTATTTTAGGCAGACAGGCCAACATAAAAATAGTGTATAGCTGTGATAGGCAGCTTCAATGCAGAATGTGCAACAATCTGCACTGAGGGCATGTTGTATCCAGTCACACTTCCAGGCAGTCTCCCATCATTTTAAAATGCATCTGATCTGCTTTATTTTTCCTGTGCCTGACTACCTTTGTGGCTCATCTGTTTTTTTTTGTTTTTTTTTTTAGACGTTTACATATTTTGCTCTGTAATCCATCAGTCAATCCGCATTTCTAACAGAGGATGGATGGATGAGCCCTTTCCATCATGCCACAGTGTCACAGAGTGCACTGAGGGTTAAAAAAGAGTAACAAACCACCTTCAGAAGTCACATAATCAAAAACAGAGTCCTTCAGTGAATAAAGTGAATATACTGCAGATCCTCTTTCAAGGCCTCAAAAGTTTGTTTCAGAAAATGAGTGAACAATTGTGGAGACCAAGGAGCTCAGCTCAGGGAGACAACTGAGGGAATCTTCAGAGCGGGGTTAGGTTATACCAACTAAGGTCCCATATCCTGTGGTTCTAGATCCTCCCTAGTTTAACACAAGCTGCAGGACATATTTGTTCATAAGAAAAGAAAGCACAAAAAAATTCAGTCTCTTGATTTGCAACACTAGCTTTAATCTAATTGGATGCACAGAACTAGAAATAGTCCGGGAAATGTGAATACAGTTTTAAAACGCTGTATGTTGATCATTCAAGGGTTTGAACCATGCAAAACGGAAGGTTAAAAGAAGTCACAGTGTTTCCATTGAGCTGAGAAGCAAAAACAGTCAGAAACTGGTTAAAGGTCTTGTTGAAGAAAGATTAGGGCCTCCTACGACTGGACAAGCCTCTCCCAGGTACCACTCTCCGTCCGATGGTAGAGCTGAGGCTGCCCTCCAGGGAACAGGCTTTCAGAGTTTGGATGTGACAAAAGGAACTGGATGGTGGACTTCATGTGTTGGACAAAGTGTGGCGGCTCAGCCATTGGAGACGTAGACAGGTTCTACAAAAACAGAGAAGAAAAAAGATAAACTCCTTTAAATCACTGGGTTTGCAGTTCATTCTCACACCTTTATTCCTGATGATCTGTGACTGCCGACTATTTCACAGATATCATCTTACCTTTAAAACAATGTCGTCACTTTGTGTCAACCATGATTCAATACTCCGATCAGGAGTCCAGTGGCATGGTCCAATTTTAACAAGTCCACGACTTGAGTCATATATGTCAGCCATCTGGAAGGAACAGACATTTTAGTACAATTTAAATGTCAATTCTAGTTTTGTTCACCAACAACTAAAAATGTCCCAGTCTCCGGGTTTTCTTCCAGTATGGTTCTGTCCTCAGCTTGATCCAAAAGCCTATTAATTCTGACCAGCTCCCCTGTCCTTGCTTAAAAAGATCCTGCACAGCATGATGCTGTAACCACCATGTTTCACTGTGAGAAAGTGTTCAGGGTGATGCGCTGTATCACTAAGGTTTGCTTTTACACTTGAAGGCCCTATTCCAAACTACTTGCAGCTATGGAGGGCAGTTTGATTGAAGATGGGGGATGGATAAAGATAGGATGCCCAATTCGCTTCACCATTAGGTAAACAGTCATTGCTATGGCAACACAGGGGTGCCCTCTGCACATGGCTGTAGCTCTGTAGTGTAAGTTGCCATAAAATCAAACATTTGCCTCCATCTTTAAAATAAATGTATACAGTCAAATACGAGTATTTCCAACAAAGTGGTCCTTCCCTTTGGTAGGATTTTCCTTTTCCTTACTTGTTATTTTTTTCTGTATGGTTTTTGGCAAACTGCAAACTGTACTTTTTACGAACTTGTCACTCCTCCATAAAGGGGAAGTATTTTGACAGCTCCACCAACAGTTCTTAAATCAACAGATCCTTCCACAAGAGCTCTGCAGTTACTTTAGTTCTAATGGGCTTTGAGCTTTTTACCGTGTTATAATGCCTTTCCCTCATCAAAATCATGCACAAAGTTGCATTTCGCTTGATTCATGCATCTCTGAGTAATCCTCATGAGTTCTGTTCCCTGAGCAGCAGCCCCTTACCAAACGGTTAGAGAATAACTACATAAGAAGGCTCCCTCCAGGAGCACCTAGCTTAACCGCACTGTGCCTGCACAGTCCACTTTCCCCAATCAAGGGAAGAGAAGGATGATGTAAGGCAGAAGAGGACAGTTCCAGCTCAAAGTCAAGACAAAGAAGCTCTTTTAGCAGCTAATCTTTTTTCAACTGGCTAATGTTGAAGCTGTGTGAGAGATCTCCGTGGAAGTCCAGCCTTCAGAACTAATGTATGTAATGAAGTAATGCCATTATAAGGAAACAAGATTGAATAACAGTAGAATCTGTCTTTTAAAGTGAGCAAAAGTAAGATTAATGAACTTCTGCTATAAAAATATACTGATTTGGATTAGAATGATCAATAGCTTGCTTATCTGTATGTTTTTGTGTTGACTAAATGACATGGAGCGTTTTCTAGGATCAATCCTGAAACCTAGACTGCCCTGGAGCAGGTTTGCCCTTTAAACTACGATACCATGGTAACTAGCCTCTTTAATGCTACATTCACAGCTGATGCACTTTGGGCAGCAGAGGCAGCTGCTTTACCTGCAAAGTCTATGGTTGATGCACATCAAGGCGCATCAAAAGGTCCTGCAGCGTGTTTTGAGCAGCAGGAACAGCGCATCTTGACGCAACTGAGCAGCCAAAGCAGAACCTCTTCACGGGCTTCACAAGCAGCAGATGCTGGATTTGCAAAAATTTAACTTTTGCTGCTCGACGTGCCGCATCAACCCATCAGAGAAGCTGATCTGGCAGCTGGCATGGAGACAGACACAGCACTGCTGATGCAAAGAGCTATGATCACTCCACTGAAACTGTTTAACGCCCAAGTTAACTTAAAACGTTGAATTCTGCCAGCCCACTATAGTGCCTGCAGTTTGGATTACGTACAAGAAAACCACTAACATCATCTTCCAGCCTCCATTAACAGTAGAGGAAAACCGCCAAGAGACGGGCCAGTCTGAGGCAGCTACAGCTGGATTCCCAGTGACAGCGCACCGCTGGTATGTGGGGGCCAGTGCACCTCCGACAGTGAAATAGTATTTTAAGGCAGGATCGTAATCTTGATAAACTTACTGCACAGATTAAGTTTTCAGGTGGACTTTCTCACTTAAAAGTACATTAAAACAACTTTTTAGCCACTGATCACAGCAAATGTAGCAAAACCACCCTCTGCCACTGAACACAGGAGCAGCAGAAGCATCAGATACATTTGGACACACTTTTTATAGAGAATACCTCTCCTCCTGTCAAGATCCGCGCCGACCGCAGGTCCTCTGCAGGTCCTTTATAAGAAAATGATGCTGGGAATACCTCCCCCGTTTTGACATTCACACCTACACAGAATCACAAAACAACTTTTTACTTATATGACAGTGAGGAAACACCCTGCAATTTTGCAAGTTCTTCCACTTAGAAATCATGGACTGGCCTACAATTGTCATTGTACATGCATGTCCACTGTTAGAGGAAAAAAAAAAAATCCAGAAATCACAATATATGATTTTTTTTTTAGCTATTTGATGATACAGCTGCAAATATGTACTTGTACACTGGTTTATCAGCTAGAATTCTGACCCTCAAAGACCTGGTAGTCTGCCTTCAAAATGTCCTCCTCCACTCCTTCTCCTCCTAATTCTAAATTAGATGCACCTGTTTGAGGCTGTTAGCTGCATAAAGACACCTGTCTACCCCTTACAATCAGTAATCAGAATCCAACTACTAACATCGCCAAGAACAAAGAGCTGTCCAAAGACACTAGAGACACAATTTTTCACCTCCACAAGCCTGGAAAAGTCTACGGGGAAATAGGCAAGCAGATTGGTGAAAAAAGGTCCACTGATGGAGCAATGATTAGAAAATAGAAGAAGCTAAACATGATTGTTAATCTCCCTCGACTTGGGCTCCATGCAAGATCTCACCTCGTTGCGACTCAATGATCCTAAGAAAGGTGAGAAATCAGCCCAAAACTACACGGGAGGAGCTGGTTAATGACCTGAAAAGAGCCAGGACCACCGTTTCCAAGGTTACTGTCGGTAAAACACTAAGACATCATTTTTGAAATCATGCATGGCATGGAAGGTTGCCCTGCTTTAATCAGCACATGTCAAGGCACAACTTAAATTTGCCAATGACCATTTGGATGATCCAGAGGAGTCATGGAGAAAGTCATGTTGTCAGATGAGAGCAAAATATAACTAAATGATGAGTACCATCCTAAGAACACCATCCCTACTGTGAAGCATGGGGGTGGTAGCATCATGCTTTGGGAGTGTTTTTCTGCATATGGGACGGGGCGACTGCACTGTATTAGGGAGAGGATGAACGGGGCCATGTATTGTGAGATTTTGGGAAGCAACCTCCTTCCCTCTGTTAGAGCGTTGAAGTTGGGTTGAGGCTGGGTCTCCAAACATGACAATGACCCAAAGCAGACAGCCAGAATAACCATGGAGTGGTTCAGGCAGAAGCATATCAAGGTTCTGGTGTGGCCTAGCTAGTATCCAGACCTAAACTAAATAGAGAATCTTTGGAGGGAGCTCAAACTCAGTGTTTCTCAGAGACGGCCAAGAAACCTGACTGATCTAGAAAAGATTTATGTAGAGGAGTGGGCCAAAATCCCTCCTGCAGTGTGTTCAAACCTGGTGAAAAACTACAGGAAACATTTCACCTCTTTAATTGCAAACAAAGGCTGACATATCAAATATTAACATTGATTTTCTCAGGTGATGAAATACTTATTGGCAGTTAGATCATACAAATTGGTAAAAGATCCTCTATTGTGATTTCTGGATTTTTTAACATTTTTTTTTTAGATTATGTCTCTCACTGTGGACATGCACCTACGATGACAATTTCAGACCCCTCCATGATTTCTAAGTGGGAGAACTTGCAAAATAGCAGCGTGTTCAATTACTTATTTTTCTCACTGTATATAAAAATACTTATCACGTATCTCTCTGAGCCGTATACGTCACTCACCGATCCCATATATTATCGGTCTATGGATTCCCTCTTTAACGACATCATTCATCTCTACAGCAAAAAGAGTTTTGTTAGTGGATCTCGATCTTGTAATATTGACAAATAATAAGATAATTATACACATTTTTGTTTAAAGACCTGTTATGCAACATGTCTCTAGGTGAATATCCTCCTCCTGTCTCTGAAAAGCTGCTATAAAGTGAAAACAAGGCATGTAAACTTCAAGGAGCCTTAAATTCTGTCCATGAGCAACATGCACTGAAAGCGTCAAGACTGTACATACCTAGTATGTCAAGGCTGATCTTCTGAGAGGTTTTTGTGTCGTCATCAAAGCCTCCAACAACATGAAGCTCAAATCTAGACAAGTGAGTGAATCAGTTATAAATGGGAAAGAATGGTCTTTAAAGCAGTGCTTGTTTATCTGTGACGTACCGTCCCTCATTACAGACGTTACTCAGTGATTTTACAGCTTTTAAAATCCGTGCGATCTGAGACCAGATCCTAAAGTCATCACAATGAGCCAGGCAGACTGCTCCACTACCTACATTAAAGCAGGGTTCACAAAATACAGCATATATATAAACATACAGAAAACAGATGGGTTAAAACAAAGAAGTTTAAAATATGTCATACTGAAAATAATAATGAAAGACAAAGGTAAAAAAATAAAAGCTAATCTCTCAGGAACTACAAAATGCTTTTGCAAAAAGGGATTGGAGAAAGTGTTGAATTGTGAGTGGCTACAGGGGAGTAACCTATATGTTTATTCTTAGTTTTAGGCACTTTAAGGAGCTGTTGATCGTGTCAATCTATTGAGCTTTTAAAAACTAAAAAAAAAGAACTTTAAAACAAAGCCTAGAATGAAAAGGTAGACAAGGTTTCAAGACTTTCTTTTGGGAAACTGGCTCAAAAGGAAGAAGCTGGATTTCACAACTAATTTGGGTGTCCAGTTTCAGATCAGCAATCATCTTATTTAGTTTAGTCTTGCAGAAGCACATACTAGCAGAAGGCACGACGGAGAAAAAATGTCCCAAATTCACACATTTTAACTAGGGCTGAAAAAATTAATCGGATTAATCATGATTAATCGATTATTGAAATAACTGTCAAATAATTTAGTGAGCAATTAATTGTTAACTGGATTATAGAGGCTGTAAATGATGTCTTTAGCTGAGCAGAGGAATCCTTGTAGAGAAGCAATCATACCAAATTTGTGAACAAATATATCAACATTTTGCATTTAAGATTAAAAAAAATATTTTTTTGTCTATCAATATTCTCTATCCAGAACTCCTCAAGTGGAAACATTTTAGTTTCACATGGTTTAATAAAAAAAAAAAAAATCTAATTTAAGGAACATTTAGCTATCTGATGATTAATCGAAAAAATAAAAAACAATGAACAGATTAACGGATTTCCAAAATAATTTAGTTGCAGCCCTAATTTTAACTATTATTGGCAGAATTAACGCTGTTGAACTAATGAAGAGCTGACTAAGCCCCATTTTTTATTAGAAGCTCTTACTGCCTCAAGCCCAAAAACTAGCATTCGTCTTCCTCCATACTCTAGGGGTGAGAAGTAGAGCTCCCCCTACAGGTCCGGTGGGGGACAGTTTAGTAGATATCAGTGGCTTGTAGCCCAGTGTGTCTTATATTTACATGTTTCAAGTAAAAAAAAAAAAACTATTGGGTGCAGCTTACAGTCAGATGCGCTCTATAATTCGGAAAATACAGTAACTCAGAAGTTCATGATGAGCGGCCTTATAGACTACTTTTAGGGCCATAGAAAGTTTAGGGCCATTCATGACTTTATACCGTGAGTTCCCTTAATACATTAGGGAATTATCTGCATAAGAGGGAAAAGAGATGGATTAAAAAAAGAGAAGATTGCACAGCACTGAGCCTTGTGGGATACCATAGCAAAGACAGGCAGAGGACGATTTAGCTAAAGTTTGGTCAGCTAGATGACTTTTAAACATTTACAGTAAACTACTTTTCCTGTCCACTAATCTAAACGAGAGATTGATAATGTGTCTGTTTCAAATGCAGCGGTTAGATCAAGCAGCAAAATAATAAAACAGTCATCTCCTAAGCAGCATGCACATTCCCTTTACTTGAAGCCAGACGTAACGGACAACATGAATCTGGTAGAAATAATCCTACCGGTGTGTCGCAGCACGACCAAGTGGCAGGTAGTGGCATCTTCGGATCCAAAAACCGAAACACATTCTGTGAAAGTTCAGATGAATATATTAGAATTACAAACTGTAATCAAAAAACACTGCTGAGAATACATTTAAAAATACATAAACAACAACTGTTGGTGTAAAATTATTCCAGCAACATATGAGAAAATTATTCTTCCATAACTGCTCAGAAGCAAAACATTTTCACACTTTATACCATTATTACAACAAACTTCAAATTATTTTAGCAATACGAGGTAAACTAACACAAAGTAACTTGTAACTTTATAGTGGAAAATTATTTTTTAAAAATCCATCAAAGCTCAAATCAAAAAGTATGCAAGGCATTTCTACTTATCCCGATGCGGCTTTGTTAGAGAACATTTCCAAACAAACAGAATTATAAGACCAAGACACACAGCAGAATGGCCCTGTGGAAGGTTATTGTATGTTTATGACAGATTTAGGTTATAAAGCAACATCTCAAGCTTTAAACATCTCTTTTACATCCTATAGTAAAACACCTGGGAAGACATCATGTTGGAGAAGAGCTGTTTAGGGAGTAGTGAATCTAGGTACTGAAAAATGATAAAAGTCTCTAATACAAGGTTTTATTGAAAATATACTTTAGGGCACCATTTGCCTGGCTGTATTTTCTGAATTACCTTGTTGTTAAAAAATATATAAATTCTACATACCACATTTAACAACAGGTGCCATCAAATATATTACAGTCTAGAACCTATTGATTAGCTAAAATATATTGGTAATGTGGGGGACCTGCAAAGTTCTACATTTCTTGTGGGAAAATCTGTCAACAGGAAAAGCTATTAGTACTGCTTTCTAAAAATCTGGATTTTATAGAACAGTTATAACAATAAAACTGTTGTAGAAAAGGGTTTATTTTGGTAAATACACAGAGTGAACATTTGGAAGAAGGCATTATTGTGTGATTAAACCAGAATTAACATTTTTGGATGACATGTTAAATGCTTTGTATAGAGGAAAACTAACATTGTCTCAGCACCATTCCCGCTGTGATACATGGTATTGGCAGCATCATGCTGTGGGGATGCTTTGCTTTAGTTAAGACGGGAAAGCCAGTTTGAGTTGATGGAAGAAAATCCATATCAATTCTGCAGAAAAATCCATTTCACGCTATGAAATAATTTCTGATTGAGACTGAGGTTCCCCCGCTAGCAGGAAGACTGTAAGCAAACACCCAGAGCTACAGTGGGAGGGTTTCAATAGAAGCATATTCGCAGGTCAAAAATAAAAAATAATGATCATCATAGGCATAACATTATAGGTACAGACCAAAAGGACTTGGTAATGTATTTAAAACAAAAGGAAGTCCGACTGAGTACTAAATCCCACCTTAATCTAAATGCATAGCAAACTTGTCTGACTGTTAGTTTTAAAAACAGGGATAAATGTTCTTCCATTTCACAATTATTCATCATTAGATCCAAAAATCGAACAAAATACATTTATCCTCATGGCTGTTTTTTTGTAACCTTACCGGTAATTTAAGTAGGAAGGAATGCTTCAGAACAATTTATTTAAACCTAGGACTGTGGAAAGGTTAAGGCACCTTTTTTTAAAATATATTTTATTGTGACACAATGGGAAAGAAGTTAAGGTTAATGACAACCTTCAACGAGCAGTGTATAGTTTATGAACATTATTTCCAGTGATGGTTTGATTTGGCTCAGCTGGGATTTTTTGAGATTCGATACATCATTTTCAAAGAAGGAACTGTTGCTGTACTTACTGTCTGCTGGTGTTGTTGCTGCAAACTCTCTCTGTTGAACATACAGCAGGCTCTTTGGATCTACATCAACAGGGGGCTTGGACCGAAAGGCTTTTGCATGTTCCTGTAACACATGATTAAATGCCCCCCCGACACCATAATGTTAAAATTCTGAATTTAAGCAATGATAATAAACCCTGGATCACAAGTGAACTGAAAGAACTGGTAAGCGTGAAAAGAAAACCCGAGAAAAAGAAACGTGGAGTTATTGAGGAATATACAGAAACAACTTAATAAGAGAAAGCAATGAGACACGCAGGAGAAAGCTGAAGAGCATGCTACAGTAGACCAATAATAGAGATGTGTGGTCAGGGATGAAGAAGACCACAGGCTTCAAGCAGAAGGATGGTCAGGCACATGGAAATATGAACAGAGCAAATGAACTGAATATATTCTTCAACAGATTCAGCTCACACTATTAGTGCTTTAAAACAAATTGAATATCTACAGTCATGGAGAGAAAAAAACAAACAAACAAGAAAAAAACAAAACACAAAAAACATACACATCCATATTTTAAATACGTAGTAAGGACCTTGCATACACTCTCACTGACTTGAGTCCTACCAGTGAACACTGACCCCCAAAACACACACACACAGAAACATACAAGGGCAGTTTAAACATTTGTATTCATGACTGTATTCATTTCTGATATTTTAGCTCTTGCAAGTCTTCAAATAAAGCATGATCTTTATTTAACATGTTTTCTCAGTCACTGACAACCTGTTCATTTTTCATATGGGTGACTGCTAAAATGAATTGATTGATTAATTTACTTTATCGATCTCACAATGGAGAAATTTGCTTGTTACTTCAGCTCAAATAGTCAAAGTAGAAGAAGAAGGTGCCAAAGGAAGAAAAAGGTGCATGGGATGTATACAGTCTAAAGAGTGCGTCCACATATGACAGCTTTTTTTTTAATAGTAGGATTATTATACAGGGTTATCGCGCAGGGAGTTTACACGGATATTTATATAGATAGAAATTTATATACATAGTTATTGCACTGGGTGTCAAATATAGAGAAACAGGATATTTCACAGGGTATCAAATAGCAATTGCACATTATACATTGCACGAGTTGTTGCAGTTGTAGTGTCACATTGTAGAGTCTGGTTGCAGCAGAGATAAATTACCTGCAGTCATCTGAACTCATACAATCCACTGCCTGCTGCCAGCTGTATTTTCATGCAGAAGAGATTACTGCTAAATCTGAGTTGGTGCAACAGGCTTTGTTTCCTTAAATACATTTTTCCACCACTTTGTAATAAAATGAACTTTACCATAAAGCTTTATAACAATGATCAGAATGCATTGGGTGCAATGAGATTTGGTTCACCTTTATTGCAGTTACTTGAGTATACAGCAAACAATAAAAAGTGAGGGCATGCAAATAGAAATGTGTTGTATATGCAATATTTGTTGGCTGTCTTATAATCTTTGGTAGGCAGATGCAAACATTATGTCAGGGAAGGATTTAGGAATTGGGTGATTTAGTTGGAGAGCAACTGTGCAAGAAAATGTGCTCATCAGTAATGTAGTAAAAATACATGTTTTTCTGCCTTAAAAATGACATGTGTTGCAAAACACTTAGAAATGAAGCATGGTGTGGTGGTCAAGAAAATAAGCTGAATTGAAGTTGATCGATGACAGAGATTCAGTGCAAGAACAGTTTCATTATTGAAAAGACAGCAATGAGTGAAACAACTATAAAAATCCACAGCTTGAATAGATGAAGTTAATCTGGAAACAAACCTGTAAATCTGGATACTTGTGGAATAGTTCTGTTGTTGATCTGAAGCGACCAAGCTCTCTGTTCTGAAATAACAAAGGCATGACCTTCAACCTGATCCGTTACCAAATCAACTCGATATTGTACTGCCAACACCCCAATAAGTAATAAAAAAAGACACAATTTGATATTAAATGCTGCTACAGACTAGAACTTCCTGGAAACGACACGAACTTACTCGTTTTAATGTATTGACCTTTTACCCATCAAGATGTGGCATTATCGCCACCTTCTGGTAGCTTATATAATTGTTATACACTTATTTTTTTTCTTGTTCAGTTTTATAAAGTGAAATATATTATGAAATAAACTTTAAAAGCGAATACAATTATTGTTTTTTTTTTAATGCACAAAAGCTCGTTTGCTACACCCGAGTCGTAGAAGAAGTTCACTGAGAGTTTACGACAGCGCCACCGTTTTCACGACAGGGCATTCTCCATCATCAGTTAGTTACATTGCGTAAGGACTGACGTTTGTTTTGAAACACCGCTACGTAGTTTTACTAGCAGAGGCTAGGGTCGTTGTCCTTATCTGCGAGGAAACAAACAAGGCGACCTGCAAGTTAAAGCTTGCATTGGTTTCTCGATAATTTAATTAAACTTATTGTTGTATCATTTTACTCCAGTTATTAGCTTTAAACTCTAAACATTGTTTTGTACGGGCTAACTGTAGCATAGCTTTTCCCGTGTTGTCATCGAGCCGAGCGCTGCTAGCCACTTAGCTACTAATTTAGCTAACAATTGTATTTGCAATGAGGGGGGGTTCCTCGTATGGAGACAGGGATAGAGACAGAGATCGTGGACGTGACAGGTATGTTGTGTTAGATTCAGCAGTGAATAAATAATAAAGTTAGCGTTCACATATGCCTGGGCCTCATAGTTTACTGACTACGTGACTGGATTGAAGCAGCTCGACAAAAGCTAATGCTAACGCTGCAAAGGCGATTCGTTTAAAATTCAAAATAATCACAAAACAACTGTACAAACGACAAAAATACAGATATAGTTTGAATCTAAAAAACAAACAAAACAGAAATTACCTCAAATGCTATCAAAGTATTTTTTTTAACTAAACGGGATTGTGGCCTAATAGTAATAGTGGGCGGGACCATGTTTACCTTGTTGTCTGCCTGTAAAACTTTGATTGTATGTTCGATTAGGAAGTTAGCACTTAAATGCAAATTATTGCACGACGCGTGTGCCTGCAGTAAAATGGTGCTTGATTTTGGTAAACATTCTTAAAAAAAATGTGATTAAGCAATTATATATGCACAAGCTTCACTCCTCCAGGCCAGTAGGTGGCGCACTCGCCCGGTCGGTGCTGTTTGCTAGTTAGAGCAAACATCCAGTGGTGATAAACTCCAGTCCTCTAGTGTTCTCCAGAATTTATCTGCATGCTGGGAGGTAGTTTAGACATTTTATTTAGATGTACATGGCAAGTAACACATCGAGGTAAAACACATGAATATCTAGTATGTAAATTTCTAGTAAGGGGAGTGGGGGGCCTAGTGGTTAGGGCATAGAGCTTGGAAACTGCCACTCTGGGTTCCTGAGCAAGACCTTTAACCCCTGATTGCTCCCCGGGCGCCCCACAATGGCAGCTCACTGCTCCCCGAGGGGATCGGTTGTTTCTCCAATGTGAGATCAATAAAAGATATAAAGGAGACAGGATGTGATTAAAGGGATGACTAAGATCACAGAAAGGAAATTGAATCTTAAAGATTTAATTGAGTCAGGCTGTGTTGTCTTAGGAGCATATTGTAGGACTTAGGGTTTATGTATGGTAAGTAATCACAAGTCAGGCTCTGATACAATAGGTGGCGGTATACGGCTAAAAGTCAAGGTTTCAATCTGCCATAAAATAAAAAGAAGAAGAAAGTGACACCAAGACCACTGAACCAACTGTACAGGAAATGGAAACATTTGTGTGGCTTCCGAACTCTTTTGCGTCCTTAAGCGGGCGCCATAGTTCAACAGCTTAAATAAATCTCCATTATATTGCTTCTTTTTAAGGGGGTTTGCTTGAAATGTAAACATTTTAATGTTTAGAGGAATTCATTTCTCAGCTCTTTGATGGAGCAACTATAGTATCTGGGAACCGCTGAACTCCATCTCTTATGACTTAAACCCAATAATACTAGAGTGCAGTATCCTATCTTATTGAACTTGGCATTACAACAAAAGTAAATATGTAGAGCTGAAACAAAGAATCAAATAATTTAATAAATAATTAAATCATTTTCAACTAATTTAGTAATTGTTATCTGTAGTATATAGAGACTAAAACATTCATTTAGCTTTAGAGCAACCCACTTAGAGCAGAAATTATACACACAAAAAAACTTTTTAGCATTTAAGATGATAAAGTGTTTTCTTCGGTCAATGTGCTCTATCCAGAAGCAGATTTTTTTTTAGTTTCACCTGATTTGATTCCATAAAAATCTTCCTTAAGTAACATTTAACTATCCAATTATTATTTGATTAATTGACAAAATAATCAACAGATGAATTGATCAGCAAATATATTAGTTGCAGCTGTATAAATATGTATATCTATATTGTGGACCTGTCAAAATATATGAAATAATTATTAATTTATTATATTTTTTAGAAAAATCTATTATTTCATTTTTTTCCATTTTCGATGATCTGTGGCTGTATTATTAAAGAAATAGATACATTTGATGACAATGTTGTGGCTATGAGCATTGAGTGATATTCTAAAAAGTGCATCAGCTCAAGAGTATAGAAAGAAATATGAATATGTCACGTGATGAATTTGATGCTTTGGCAGCTTGTTAACACATTCTAATACTTGAGGATCCTGGATTTAATATTTTTCAGCATTTTCAGCATCCATTAACAATGAATTTTCCCTCATGACAACGAGACAAAGTTTTCCAGTTTATATTCCACAATGTGTTATTTTTGGACTAAGTCTCATCAACCTTAATCACCTATAAGCAGTTCATTTTCTTAAAGTCAGTTTATGATTCAACAGGTAAAGCTAGTCTACATTTTTTGCTAAAAATACAGTGAAATCTGTTCATTTTGTTGTTGCTTTATTTTTTTCAACGGTATAAGATTATATTCAAATATGTCTGTTTTTTTATTTATTTTGCTGTTTGTACCCAAAAAGTGTAGAATGTGTTAGATTTAGGTAACTTCTGTGACCACTTAGTTGTTAGAGCTTCTTGTGGAAAGAAGGATGCAGAGAGTAGGTGAAGTTTCCGATTTTCCTTTTGTACATTTGATTTAAATTGTATTTTCTTCTCAAAAGAATTTGATGTGGGCCCAAGTGCTATATGAAAACCTATTAGAAGCATAACTTATGCTACATCTCAGGTATCTCAAATCTGATTAGGGATGAAACAATCAGATTAATTGTGATTAATTGATTATTGATTTAATCATCAAGTAATTTTGTGATTAATGGTTAACTGGAGTATAGAGACTCTAAAACATGCCTTTACCTGAAAGAACAAACCAGTTAGAGCAGTAATTATAAGAAAACTGTAAAAATATATCCATATATTTTGCAATTAAGTTAAAAAAAAAAAGTTGAGTATAGGATAAAATCCAGTCAAAGTTTGGTCACTGATTGATGATAAATTCTAATTTCACTACTAGGTCATTGAGGGTTACAGACTTCATTTGCTTACTTACAGCATTGGAGAATCAACTTAAGAACATCAATGAGTCGGATAGATTTCATTTGTGCAGGCATTAGCTTGAATCCTGATCCCTCTTAACCTGTCGGTGGCGCTCTTTTAGGCCACGGTTTGGAGGGGGCATGGGCGGCCGTGGTGGACCCCCGCCCATGAAGTTTGGAAATCCTGGTGAGCGACTCCGCAAAAAGAGGTGGAACCTCGACGAGCTGCCGAAATTCGAGAAAAATTTCTACACCGAACACCCAGAAGTACAGCGCATGAGTCAAGTAGGTTTTTATTCCTCCACACTCCGTAGTTCTAAAAATAAATATCTGTGACATGTATTTTTTGAATTTCCTGTTTTGTCTCATCAGTTCGATGTGGAGGAGTTCCGTAGGAAGAAGGAGATCACCATCAGAGGCTCTGGTTGTCCAAAACCTGTGACGGCTTTTCACCATGCTCAGTTTCCTCGTAAGTTATCTTTTTTTTTTTTTTTTTTTTTACATAATTAAAATTGTTTCTGACTTTCTAATTCAATACAAATAATTTTGCTATTATTCTAGAATACTTCCTATTATTTTCTACATTTTAAATATCCGTCAAAATGCAATTGACCTAAAAACAAATGTAAAACACAATTTGAGTTTAACCATGAAAGGTTTGAGTTAAAGTGTTTCCTGTCTTTGCCTTACAGAGTATGTTATAGATGTGCTGATGCAGCAGAACTTCAAGGAGCCCACAGCAATCCAATCCCAAGGTTTTCCTGTGGCCTTGAGTGGGAAGGACATGGTGGGAATTGCACAGACTGGTTCTGGAAAGACACTGGCTGTAAGGATTTCTCTCCAATAGCTTATTCAAACTATTGTGAACTGTAATTTGGTCCCAAATGATTGGAAATATTTATGTAATATTCAGACATAGGCAAAATACACAGTAATTCAGTAAGAGGTGGTGAATCATATGTTTTTAAAGAAGATATTCTAACCATGTATTGCCTGTGTTTTTTTTTCCTTGCAGTATCTCCTTCCTGCTATTGTACATATTAACCATCAGCCCTATCTGGAGAGAGGGGATGGACCCATAGTGAGTGCAAATTGGCATAACCTAAGAATAGAGAGTTAAACTTGAAGGTTTCAGAGCACCGTGATCCTATTTTTGATTCCCTCTTTATTCTTGTTCTCCTGTTCTCAGTGCCTGGTCCTTGCTCCAACCAGAGAGCTGGCCCAGCAGGTTCAGCAGGTTGCCTACGATTATGGCAAGACCTCCCGGATCAAGAGCACCTGCGTTTATGGTGGAGCACCCAAGGGACCACAGATTCGAGACCTTGAGAGAGGTAGGTATGGTGGGCTGTGTTGAAGGTGGTGTATCTTTATCCCTTCTTTCATGGTGATCATATCTGGCTCTAGGCGTTGAGATCTGCATTGCCACTCCCGGTCGCCTCATTGACTTCCTGGAGGCGGGGAAGACCAACCTGCGTCGCTGCACCTATTTGGTGTTGGATGAGGCCGACCGCATGTTGGATATGGGCTTTGAGCCACAGATTCG